TTATTTTTTTTTAAGGACCTTTCCAAAATAATTTCATAGTATGAATTGAATAAATATTGGAGGAAGGGATTCTTCCTCTTCAGCACTATCTCAGATCATTTAGCAAAAATATTTTTTCATTGCCACAGGAGATGGGTCAGGGAGGCAGAAGGGGAAACCTAGGTTTTTGTGGTCAGCATGATAGACACTGCTGCCCTAACTTCTGAAGGTAACTACTTATGACAATGACTGGGAGCTTTGCTGTGCTCGATGTTCCTGAATTTCTTGCAGTTTTTGTCTGCAGTTCAGGAGCTGCAGCCATTTGTACTTTTTCAGAGTGAAGGGAGCTGGGATTTACTGACAGGAAAGGACATGCTCCAGGCAGAGGAGCAAATGTTACCGTTGTCTTACGTTGCCCCTGTCCCCATCTGTCAGTTTTTACTCACCAGCTCTATGCCTGTCCCCTGCTGCAGGATGCAATCAGTGCCATGACTGGAATTTGGCCAGGAGATCATGGCTAACACTCCCATCCCATTTTTTTATGCAAACTTGATTTATGGCTTTGATCTTTTAAAAAATATTTTTAAGAATGAAATAATTTATACAGAATCTGTCACTTTCCAAGGCTCCTTCCTTTGTTCTTGCTTGCTTTTTCTGCATATTTCCATCTTCCCAACCCTTTTTAAATCTGTTGCAATATGCAACAGTAGCTACCTACTTGCCACTTTCTTCATAGAAAGAAGACCTGCAGGAACTTTTGCCACTTTTGCTTATTTGGGCCAGGACCACTGATAGTCTGGTTTGATTTTTACTGCTCATGATCTTGGACTTGTCCACCCCAGCTGTTACAAGGGACTGAAAAGGTGTGCTGTGCTGCTCTGAGCTGGAGTGTGTGCCTGCAGGTTCATTCTGGACTGGCAGCAAATAAAAGGTGGTGCCACCCTGCATCAGTCTCCTTCTCTACAGGCTGAGTCCAGATCTATGCTCCAAGCTGGTCTTAACTGAGACTGTAGAAACACCTATCAATCCCCAGATGATGTAGATGCACAGTAACTTGACAACAGAAAGGGTTGGTGCCCTGTACGTTTGTGAACTAAAACAAAGAATTGTCCCATAAAAGGGGAACCTAAATGAACATGGCATATTGCTGAAAGGAAAAAAACACACCAAAAAACAAACCCAAAACAATAAAAAAAACCTGAAACAAATTAGCGTAGGTGTTCTGGGAGATTTAGGGAGCTGTGAAACCTGACTGGCCTTGAGCTGCATACAAAAGAGGTGAGGTGGGTCTGATGTGACTTTCTGTGTCACTGAAACAGCACACAGATTTAGTGCCCAGCTTCATCTGGTATGCTTGCAGGTGGCACTTGAGGAAGGCAGGTAAAAACCACACACGGGGGAGAACCCCCTTTGCATCCTGATTTTTATACCTCTGGATCTGAGGCCATATGGCTGGTGAACCCAAGGACTAGTTGCTTAGCTGATGTTGCTGCTACCAAGGTTAAAGTTGCTTAAGCTGAGGTTGAGTGTCTTGGCAGTGAGGAGTGCTGGGGAGTTAACTGTGATGCTGACCATTTGCTAAGGTGCAAAGGAGGTAACTTAAAGGGGAGCCGAGGCCAAAAGCAGCTCTGCTGGTAACACTAATGGCTATCAGTCAAACATTGATGGACTGAGACCCCTGCTGCCTCTCCTCTGTGGTGCTGCTGGGTTTGAAACTCCACGGCTCCCAGTAATCTCTCAAAGAACTGCGTCGTGTGGGTTTCTGCTACACTGGCTACCTTGCTGCATGGAGACCTCTTTGTAGGATGGAGTCTAGTCCTGGTGATGTGCACTACACCTCTCTGTTGGAGTTCAGCAAGAAACTGCTGCCTAGGAGACTTGGCAATGTCCTTCTGTGGGTCATTAGAAACTATTGATTAGCCATCCCTCATGGTGTTGCTTGCAAACTTATATATGGAGATATCAGCTAAGCTGCAGAGGGATAATTGGAGAACAGGCAACAAGCAGAAATCAGCGAGCCTAGTGTTTCATGTTAGTCCTGGCCTTCCTGCCATCATTCCCCTGTGTGAAAACCCATGGAGAAAGAGTACAAGAGAGAGATGTGAGAAGGAAAAATAAATAAGTCTGATCATCAGCTCTTTTCTGTGCATGAAGAAACGAGACTATAGAGTCAAACAGTTCTCCCAAGGTCACACAGTTGCTGGTGGCAGTGACACTGCTGTCCTGCTCTTGCATTTTGACTGTTTCACCTTCCCTCCTTTAAACTTGCGTTAGCGCTTCAACTTCAGTTCGGGCTGAATAAAACTGCCCCCCCCCTCCTTCCCTCTCACCTTATCGATCCCTCCATCTCCTGCTGGCATTTATGAGGTGACAATCACCCTGATATCTAAGAGCCAGCAGTCCAAGGTGGATTAATGGGGACCGAGAGAACAGTCACACAGCCTTGGCTCTCCCTTCCTTCCCTTTTGTGTGAAACTGTGAGATGAAGCAGATAGGGAGAGACACAGATATGGAGGCTGATTGAGAGACAGCATCTGAGCATGCTTTGGGTGTTCAGGCGCCACACGGAAACGTGATCCCATCATTTAGACAGCTCTGATGTCCCGAGGGTAATTGATGTCACCAGCTTGTCATATCCAGTGGGTCAAGATCTAAAACTTATTTTTTCCCCCTTAACTGCATATTTAATGGGGGGGAGGGGGGGGGAGGGAGAGGTAGTGGGGGGAAGTAAAAAAAAAAGGGGATGAGTCCAATTCTGCTTTCACAGAAATCAATAGGAAAAATATTTATTGATTTCAAGTGGAGTGGGATCAGACCCAGGAATTGTTTTCACACTTCCTTCAGCAATAAGACCTCATTCAAACTCCTATCCTGGTAATATCCCACCTTATCTGGTGAGAAATACATGAAGGAAATTTCTGTGGTGTATAGGTGCAGAATGCATCACCTTTTCTGTCAGCATAAACCCAGTCTGGCAATTAGAATAATTACTCAAAATTAAAAATGATGTGAGAATAGTTTTTGAACCAGAGCATCAGGAAATGGTTGGAACTAGATGATCTTCAAGTTCCCTTTCAACCACAACTGTTCTATAATTCTATGATTCTATGACAGTAGTGTCTTTATCACCTCTCTAGCTGCCTGATCAATGCCTGTAGCATTATATTAGAGCCACATCTCCTGCTTCACAACTTCTGCAGATGTTTGTCCTGAGATGCTCATGAGTTGCGTCCTGTTAATCCTTCTAGCACATGAGGGCACAGATGCTGCATCCCTCTGCCAGGCTGCTGGCCACTGGCCTTGGCTTAGCTGTGATTTACTGTCTCTTTTCTGCTTCCTACAGACTTTCTCAGCCAGGAAGACAGTTAAACACAGCCAGGTTGTGGAGGGGGCAGCTCTTCTATCATGTGATGAGGGAAGCAGGGGACAAAGGAAAAGGCAAATGTTGTCTTTGACTGGGAATAAAAATTAAGAGGGAAAAATGGAAGGAAAGCCAGGATTGGCCTGGTGGGGAGAGGATTAAAAAAGTTCAGATTAGAACTAGGAAGCACAGCTGAGAGGAGAGAATGAGAACTTCTGTGGAGCTCTACAGCACATCCTCATGATTCTACATGACTCATGCAAGGTGGAGAACTGGGTTGTTCCAAGTGCAAGTGAAAAATAAAAAAACAGAGAACACTCAGTGGAGGACAGAAATTTCAAGGCCATTAAATTAATAAAAGAACATATGGATATCATGGGAAATCCATGGTGCCTATGCATGAGAAGGAAATAGGCAGGGAAGAAAGAAGAGGCTTGTGATCAGTGTGCTGGAGAGATTATGGGTACACTGGGATGTGATTCCTGAGTTGGCCCAGTATTACTTAAGATACAGCATTTGGTCTCTCTCATTCAGGAAGATGTGACTCTGTAAAATGAGATTAATGGCACTTCCCTCCTGTAAAACAAATTTAGCCCAAAGTACAAGAGGGTCACATGTTACAACCAAATACATGAAGCACCTAGGTGCACTGTCACTGCCTGCAAATATGCTCCAGAGAAGGCATGCTAGGTCACCTGGCAGTATTGTGTCTGCCTTCTTCAGGTATCAGCTCTACTTTTCTCTGAAATATCTGAAAGAGATTCAGTTGTGTGAACCTGATCTTGTCTTGCAGGTCCTTATTAACTGTAGCCTACAAAAAGACAGTAATGCAGAGACATCCATCTTAGGGCTCTGCCGAGAGCCCAGCTCCCTGTACACTTACATTTTTTTAGGGTCCCAGGATCCAGGTTTGGTGTGTAAGTTTGATACCTGAAATTAGTACAACACTACTTTAAATACCTGATGCGTTTTCCCAGTGTGCTTAAATCATACTGCTTTGGAGAGCTGGGACTTTATGTGTGCACATGTCTGCTTGTCCATCTTAGTGTTATCTAGTATGCTTTCACAAATCGAAAACCACTTCTGTCAACAGTTGCCATTTTACCCTGTTGTCACTCCAGAGGTACCAACAATGATGCATGTTGCAGCAGGGGCCTGGCCAAATGGATCAGAGAGCAGTGTCCTCGATTCTGCTCAGCCTATGTGGCCTGGTAGCTGAGGAGGGCCAGGAAGGTATTTGTGCCCTCACAAACCTTCTTTTCTACCAGATGGTGCTGACATGGGGCATTGAACTAGAATAAGGTGAATTCAGTTCTATTCCATCCAAATCTTCAAGGCCTAGTTGTGTTTGGATTTGACAGCAATGGCTTATACCTCATAGAAAGTGTCTTGCATGGGTGCATACATGATCATGGTTTGGTTACCGCTAGAAGTAGGTATGGCACCTCTGATGCTTGCCTGAGGGTTGTCCTCACTTATCCCCCTACCACCTATCATTGGCATGGCTCAGTTTGCTCCTGTTGTGTAATTGATTTAACAGAGAAATCACTGGTTTGTTCTCTGCTTTGTAATTTGTTCCTCTGTTCATGCGTGTTTTTGTGTCACCCCAGGTGCTATCCTTGTTCCCATGGACATGCACACAGCCAGTGTCTATACTTACTGCCTGTGCATAGGCGCCATAAGCTCCAAACTGGATGGCCATGGGGTTGAACATGCCCATCTGTCCTGCCATTTGCTGCATACGTCTCATTGTACGCTCCTTGTCTGTATCTGCAAACTTCACCACCAGGCTAGAAGAGGCTCCCTGCAGGACATGAAAGAGAAGGAAACACACAGGGGAATTAGCTGATACATATTGGCTTATGAAATCCATACATTTCACACATATTTGGTAGCATAGGAACCAGCTGGCATTGACTTTTTCCATCCAGCTTTTCCGGCCTTCTGAATTGGAGTTTTTGTAGTAGGCTGAGAGCATCAGGAAGAAAGGAAAGGGCCCTGGAGGATGAATGACTTATGCCAGCAGCCTGGGAACTAGTTTCCTCCAAAATTCAAACCTTCAGGCTGTTATTAATGTTCTCTCTGCAAAAACTGTTGCCTTATTCTTTCAACATATAGAAAGCCTTCTGGCCTGGCTGGGTGTCCTCATCAAAGGGCAAAATCTGGACTTGGTGCTGCAAAATGCAGAAGCTTTTACTGGGTGAATGTGGTAGGATTTGTGAACTGGTTTATTTTGATGGAATATGCTAGGTCTGTGCATGCCAGACCCCCTGAGGTGGATCAGTCTTCCATACTGCTGTGTCTTGTAATCCCCGTGCCCAGTGAGAAAACCCTGACCAGCCTTGGAGACAAGATTCAGTATCCTGAGCAGGGTGTACATCTCATAATGAAGAAGCATCTCTTCAGCACTGTTAAACTAGGGGAACAAAAATAGTACCCAATGTACCTGAATTTCCTCTCCATGAGCAGCAGAAATAAGCTATTATGAAAGATCCAGATTTAATGTTACATTTTTCTGGGAAAACTTTACAAAGTTTGGGTTATGACTGCATTCAACACTGGTGCAGAACTACAGATGATCTTCAGAGCTGGCTGCAGAAGTCTGTGAAAAATGCAGAGCTTTTGGGAATTAAAGAAATCCCTCTCCTCCACAAAATGAGATGAAAGGTTTGTATCTGCAATTCTTAAATTTCTGATAGGAGGCAGAGACGGGAAGAAGTAGATCTGTTTAGGAAGGAAGACACTGATATTTTTTGTGGCTGTCTCCGTGGACATCCTAAACTCATTGGTGGGCAGATTCCCCACAGCACAGTCTCCCTGGGGGAAGACAGGTGGAGGGGAAGCAGGCTCCAGCAGCAGCTCCAACCATAGGCAGACAGTTGTCTTGAGAGCTGGGCTCTCTCACAGCCTGAGGAGATGGGCAGGTGAACTGTCAGAAGACAGACAAAGAGCAGCTGAATTCATCATGCTCTCATGGTATGCTTCCCTTTTGACACACTGGTATTCACTGATGGAAATATAGTCAGTGGGGAAAATTGCCAGCTGAGCCTCTGGCCACGGCAGTAATGGAGGAGCAGCTGCATGCCAGAGAAGCTGGGCTGTTGTTGGGCCCTTGTTTTACTTGCAGAGAAAGGATTGCCTGGAATTGCACAGGGGAAGTGTTATTAACAGGCTTACACACACCCCTATGTACCTGTAATCAGAAAAAATGAGTCTCTGTGAAAGCAGAGTTGTTCTGCTACAAATTGGGAATAGCAGAGTAAACCACAACTATAAATGTACACATGCATAAGTCCAAATTATGCATATTCAGTAGCCTCCCCTGGTCCTTAGTTATGAATAAAGACTTGAGGAATTAACTTGCTAAAAAAAACCCCACAAACAACAAAACAATCTGCTGCACAATGAGCAATGTTCCCCTGGATTAGCAGCCTGTTCTGGAAGGAAGCGATTTTCATTGGCAAAGAATCTTTCTTTTTGACCTGTTAGTCTCTCTCTAATAAATCTATAACCCACTCAAACAACGAAGTGAGGAGCATGAGGCTGAAAGAAGTGCTTCAGGAAAACAAAGGGATGGAGACATGAATGCTCTATTCAAGGATGGAGAGCGGTCTTCAGAAGTTATTGTAAGAGTGAAACAGAAAGGGAGGGGGGTGGGAGAAAAAAATGTAGCCAAAATTCCCCTGTATTTTTGCTCAAGGCTAGGTGACTTTTCACTTTTTTAAAATCACATGATGTAGTTATTGATCCTTCCCAAATCACACTCCTAATTGCAACTCATCGACAAATGAATATTTTAATGCATACATTTCCTGCTAATTATCACCTGGACCAGTCCTTAATTAGATTTCAACACTCATTTAATTAACCCTGATCCAAGAGACTATTTGGTAACTTGAATCTAATGATTTAAACCTATTTGCAGCTGTATTGGAGGGAGGCACTGATCCACGGCAGATTGGGCTGCTGTGACTTGCAGAGGAGGGGCTGCAGCATGATGAGTACAATGCAGCATAGAGGATTTTGCAGCTGTATAAGATGGAAGAGTATTCATCTCTGCAAACAGGTTTTGAAGATGTGACCTCCTCTAGTTAGCAGGACCGAGAAGTGTAAATAAGTTGGTGTCTTCTTCCTTCCCCTGTTCTTTCTACTTCTTTTTGCCCTGGAAGTCCTAGGGCCGAAGAACTGCCTGAGGAAGTTGCTGATGCCTCACACTGTTGAAAATCAACCTACTATTGTAGATGGCACAATGAAAACAGGGGTAACCTCTGCCTGAAGTTTTTGTCCCTGGAGTGTTTTTCACTCCTGATGTGAGTCATAGTGAGTGTACAGCAGCCATTTGACCCAGTGGAGTCTAGTAGTGCCTCTTACAAGATGATGTTTCTGGGTTGCCTGTCACAGCAGGACTTTGGGCCTCTTTGAACAACACTATAATATACACAGGTCACAAAAAGCCATTGGCAAATAGAAGAAAGTTAGAGTACACACAAAGTATGAAGAAAGAAGGGGAAAATTAGCTTTTTTAAAAAGCACTCTGCAGTGATTGTGCATGTAAGCAGTTAAAGATATATATCTAGTAGAGATGCTGCATTGCTCTTGAATGTGAAGACTGACCTTGGGATTGATGCTTTTTTGTATGTGGTTCCTCATGTGCAGCCCTTTCATGTGGCCCGAAGGAAATCAGGCAGCAAACTCTACCAGATCATCCAGTGCAGCATTTTTAGCTGAGGAGCTGAACAGTGCTGTTCATCTACAGCAGAAGGCGACTACTTTCTACTCCAGTGACTCCTACTGATCCACTGGATAATATTAGAAATGCCTCAGAATGGGCCAGGTTTTCTATGGGGTAAAAACTGCAGAGCCCTTCATCTGATCTATTTATTGCTTCCGCAAGCCATTAAACCATGGTGTAAATCAGCCGTTGTCTGCTGACAAAGGCAATAGGTCCTGTCTGCTTGGTCATTTATTAGTAATACATAATGTCCTTCTTGCTCTCTCCAGTTATTGGGCTGGACCTTATATTTCCCCAAACCCCAAGGGAGTTACAGTGGTTAAGTCAATAATGTTTTAAATGTACTTTGAGGTGTGTGTTAATTCTGCATTTTACTGAGGGAAGGACTTGTTTATTTCTTTACCTTTCAGATGTACTATCAT